TATTGGAAAACCAAATGCAAACAAGACTCAGCACTAATTCCATAGTAAGTACTAGTTTACAGTAGCTGTGTACTACAGCAAATAATACTCCGATGACTTTCTAAGTTCTCTAAGAGATATGAATTGGTGGGTATTGATGGAATGATCAAGGAATTCTGAAATAGCTTTTGGTGGAAGGAAAAATAATTAGTCTTTAGACTGCCTTATCTTTGCATATGCTGAATCTCCAGTTGTGGCTTGATCTTCAAGCCTGTGTTCTCCCTTGAAAATGTAAATTGCTTGTTTGTCTCTCTTTTTCTTTCATTGCTGATTTCCACTCTGCAAAAGCCTGTGTTCGCTCTTAAATACAAACTTCTCTGTTCCTCACATATTCTAAATAAGTTTCAATTAAAAAAGATGGCTTCATCGAGAAAAGACCTCCAATTGCTTTTGCAAGTTAAACAAAATTGCTCAATTAAATTTGAAAATTGAGCTATTTTGTTTTACTTGCAAATATCCCATATTGCTCTGGATATAGTATATATCTTCAACAAATATGTTCTTTGTCTAAATAGAGAAATAACTACATCCACTTAGAAAAAATCTCACAAACAACCAAACACTCAACCGCATAAAAGACCATATAAAAAAAAGGAAATTAAGCCCAAAATTAGCAGAAGGAAATAAACAGTAAAGAACAAAGCAGAAATAAAAGAACTTAAGACCCAGAAAAATGTATTTCTAAAAAAATAAAATTAAATTAATAAAACTTCACATAAATTTAAAAAAACACATAAAAACATCAAAGAGGGCACTATAAAATTGATAGCAGAGAAATATAAACGATCATAAGAGACTGTCCTAAGACTGCCAAGTTGAAAAACTTAGAAGAGATTAATTAATTTCTAGAAATGTCCAGTCTACCATGACTGAATAATGAACAGACAAAACCTAAATGGATAAAATAGTAAAAGAATTGATTCAGTAATAAAATAAACACCCAATGTTCACTCTAGACCAGATGGCTTCACAGAAAAGTTCTATGAAACATTGTATTAGTAACAGCAAGGCTTCTCAAACCAGATTAAAAGATAAGAAGAGAATTTGAATAGGCAGTTTACCAAAAAAAAAAAAAATCATAGATAGCCAAAGGACACGTGAAAGGTGCTTGATGTCACTAATCATTAAGAAATGCAAATTAAACCACAACAATATATTCACTCACACCTGTTAAAAGCAAGTATTTGCTTGTGAATATGTGGAGAGAAGAAAACCCTTGTGCGGTGTTAGTGGGAATGTAAATTAGGTGTGTGCAAGTTTGTGAGACAATTCACTGAAATAATTAGAAACATTGTTGGGATCGGGACATGGGCATACAGTTTTACGAAAAAATTTACTATTATAAGTATTTTAAATATAAAACGTTTATTATGCAAGAAGTAGGGAGACATTCTAAGGCAGGAAAAGAAGTCATCAAACTGCCTAAGGGATAGAATTTAGGTTCCTTTTAAGGTTGGCTTGACTTGATATAACAGGCAGGCAAGTGCTATACATATGGTCTTTTGCATTTATATTTTTAGTGAAGCAAAACAGATTTCTTGATAAGAAATTTACCTAAATAAGTGTGAGAGGAGAGAAAGAAAGGATTATATGTTCAGGGTGGAACTCAAGCTTTTCCAGAATGGGAAAAACTTCCTTATTTGTGTTTCTCTTCTTGCCCTCAGTTTTTGTTCTGGTGGCAAGTTTTTTTGCTGAGTGATTTCCTCTTGTAGTAGAGTTGTAGGTTGGCATCCGGGGCCCTTTTTCTGTATGCCATGAGACCAGGAAGAATTTTATTCTGCCAGCATTGTCTTATCCCTGGGAAACTAACCATATTTGAGGCAGTATCCTGCACCCAGGTATTATGTCTAGAATCAGGATTTTATCAATGTGATTCCCATGACTGGCTTCCGGCATCCTGGTTTATGCATGCTAAATGCCTCCAGATTTATTATTATTTTTAAATTACTAAGCAGTATTCTTTCATGATTATATTATCCATTTTCCATCTCATTCCCCTTTGCCTCAAAATAGAGGTCCTATTATTCAATAGTCATCAGACATAAGAAATCTTTATTAGGGAAATATGAAGCTTATGAAGAAGGGGCAAGAAGGCCTTTACTCCAAGAGAATAAAATTCTCAACGTTATTCTTTGTCCAATTTTATATACCCTTCTTGGAGGTGGGCCCCCACTCCCATAGGAGGTTATCTATATTACTAAGGCCTGGGAATGTGACTTAGGTCTCAGAATTAGATTATTATTCAGATACTACGTGCATCCTACTGATAAGTATTTTTTGAGTTGCTTGAAGTTAGCATCTGAGTCTTGCCTCATAGGAACAGAAATACCCTGAGATCCCAAAAGAGCAAGCTCAGGAGCTTATCTTCTTACAGTTTCGGCCTCAGAGACTAGTTTTTATCTCCAGTGGGACCCATGCTGGCTTCCTCCATCCTGGTTTGCATCTTGGAACACAGAATCGGAATAAGGAATATTGTACCTCTCTCACCCCTTAACCTCAAAATAGAGGTTCTTCTATACAATTGTCATTCTCTGTGAAAACATAGATGAACCCTGAGGGCATTGGGCTAAGTAAAGTAGTCAGAAGTAGGAAGACAGATGATGTCTGCTACTGAAGTACATCGTAGTCAGGTAGGGAGACCCCTTTGCTCATGAATTCCAGAAAGTAATACAATTGTGAAAAGATAGGAAAAGAAATTAATCTGTCATCAGTCTTTTTGCAAGTCCTCAAAGTACAAAGGATTGACACTATTTGGATATGATTCACAAGAACAAAGTCCTGAATGATGCCAGCCCAAACAGAGAAGTCTGGGTCCAACTCAAGAAACTTCAGTGGTGGGGGGGGGCTGGAGTGATAGCACAGCGGGCAGGGCGTTTTCCTTGCACGCAGCCGACCCAGGTTCGATTCCCAGCATCCCATATGGTCCCTTGAGCACTGGCAGGAGTTATTCCTGAGTGCAAAGCTAGGATTAACCCCTGAGCATTGCTAGGTGTGACCCGAAAAGCAAAAAACAAACAAACAAACAAACAAGCAAAAAAAACCCTTCTGTCGGAATAAAAGGCTCTGATATAACTATGAAATACCTCCCAAACCTCAATGTTCTTTTCCCTTGACCAAACCCTAGCAACATATTCTTTTCTACATAGAAATCCCCCAAGCTGGGGCTATTTAGAAAAAATCCCATAAAACTAATTTTGCAAAACAAGCATAGCAAACTATCCTAGAGTCACTGCATCCCAACTGAGTGTGCAACCTCTTCTTCCTGTGGAGTTCCCGGGGCCCTCCTTTAGGCACAACTTTCCTTTTAGGGGTCATCTATTCTCTCTGTTACCTCACATAAATATACTAGCTTATTTCACTAATTTATGTGCCTTCTCCAGAAATTCTTTTCTGTGACATGAAGACAAGAAACTTTATGTGGGTGGAGGTTGGGACTGGTTTTATACTACATCCCAAAAACTCGAAGCCTCTAAGTACTCTCAGAGCCCCAGCACCTCCACAAGTCTAACCACTCAGTAGCTCTTCACAGCCCAGTGTTCTGGGTGTTGTTGAAGACTCCATTACGTAGGCGGAATAAAAGAAACTGTGGCCCACTGCACAGCAATTCAACTCCATCCCCTCTTCCGCCTCAGGGTTTGGGGGCTGGATTGCAAATCACTGGCTTCATTTCTCTGGCAGCCAGTCCTCAGCCCTGGGTGCAAAGTCACCCATTCACAAACAGAACACTGATCTTTTTCAAGAGTTGAAATTCCAGAGAGTTTGGGAAGCTGTGAATTGGGATCCCTGGAGGCACTTCACATAGATATGACAAATCCCGTCTGCTCCTCCGAATGATCAAATAACATCTTATTCTTCTAAAGAACAGTATCAAAAGTGGCTATTTTTTATTAGTGAAACACCATGAGGTACAGTTGCAGACTTACAAACTTTTGTGCTTGGGTTTCAGTTATACAATGATCAAGTGCCCTCCACCAGTGCCCATTCTCCATCACCAATGATCCCAGTAGCCCTCCCAACCCCCCCCCCACCCCCTCCCCCCAACCCCGCCTCACCTCTGTGGCAGGGCATTCCCTTTTGTTCTCTCTTTCCTTTAGGGTGTTGTGGTTTGCAATAGACTATTGAGTGGCCATTGTGTTCGCATCCGGAGTGAGTCCTCCAAACACCCTTGACTTGGTGTTCCCTTCTCTATCAGAGCTGCCTTTCCCCCCAGCATATGCTGCCGGCTTATAGAGCAGACCTCCTGGTATTCATCTCAACTATTCTTCAGTGTTCCTCTCCCATTCTGTTAAAAAGTGGCTCTTTTCTTTTAGGGGCCCAGGAACCAAGAGAATCCCTCCGTCAGGCACAAGTGCTCACGTACCAGAGCAAAGGAGGCCCAGACAGAAGTTCAGGTGAGAAGGCCACACTGAATGTGTATCCAGGAGCTAACTTACCCGAAGTCAGACCCAAAATACTGGTTCCAACCCCACCCCTCTTCAGAAGCAGAACCTCAGACTGCTTCTGAATGATGCTTCTGAATGATGCTCTCCCAGAACCCATCTCCCGTCCTCCTTCAGATTCTTGGGGCTCATCTTCCGAGCAGACAGTGCCTGTGAAGCTGGGAGCAGACCTTTAGAGAAGCCTAGTGGTTAGAGCCACCAAGGGGGTCCTTCTCAGTCCAGGTCTTTCACATCCCTCTCTCTCCCAGGACGCTGATTCTCATCAGCTACCTCCTGCCCACAAGCCTGCTGTCTCAGTGACATGAGTCATGTCTGTCCATAAAAAGTGTATGACCTAGGGCTGGAGCGATAGCACATCGGGTAGGGCGTTTGCCTTGCACGCAGCCAACATGGCCAACACAGGTTTGATTCGCAGCATCCCATATGGTCCCCCGAGCACCGCCAGGAGCAATTCCTGAGTGCATGAGCCAGGAGTAACCCCTGAGCATCTCCGGGTGTGACCCAAAAAGAAAAAAAAAGTGTATGACCTGCAAATTAGAGGAGCAGTTTCAGGAGCCTGAGAACTTGGGCCTGGGGAAAGCTACACCCTCCTTCCTGTCTTCCCCACCCCTTTCTTCTATGACCAGATCCTCCTTATTCAGCTCCTCCTGCTCCTCGTCTTCCAACTCTTCCAGCTCTGTCCTGTTCCAGGAAGCACTGAAAGGTTTTTCTGGGATACAGAGTGCTCCCCAGAAGCTTCTAACAGCCTTCCTCTCCCCCAGGACCATGAATAACATTCCACTGCGCCAACTGGAGGAGAATGCGCGTGGCCAGGTGGGGCCACACGTGTGGGAGGAGCTGGAAGAACTCGATCCTTTCCTCCAAGAAGAGTTTTATGAGAAGATGGCTGACATGGTGGGGTTCCTGCTCCTCAAGTACCGCTCCAGGCAGCTAACCACCAGGGCAGAAATGGTGAACATCGCCCTGAATAACAACCAGGCGTTCTTTCCTGTGGTTTTCAGTAAGGCATGCGAGTGCATGCAGCTGGTCTTTGGTATTGAGGTAATCGAAGTAGAACCTCAAATCCCCGCCTATGCCCTAGCCACCAACCTGGGCCTTAGCTATGATGGGATTGTAGGGCCTGACTATAGCCTGCCCAAGACAGGTCTGCTGATCATTGTTTTGGGCATCATTGTTCGGGAGGGCAACTGTGTGTCTGAGGAAGAAATCTGGAGAGCACTGAGTCTGATGGGGGTGTGTGTTGGGATTGAGCACTTCATCTATGGGGAGCCCAGGGATCTCCTCACCAACGTGTGGGTGCAGGAGCAGTATCTGGAGTACCGCCAGGTGCCTGGCAGTGATCCTCCCCAATATGTGTTTCTGTGGGGTCCCAGGGCCCATGCAGAAACCAATGAGAGGCAGGTACTGGAGTTTTGGCTCAGGGCCACTAATAGATTTTAGATGCTTCCCCACACAGGCTGACGATGAGCGGAGGGGGTCGCCTGAGCCAGGGCTGTAGAGTAGTAAGAGTTTGAACACAGCCGAGAGCACCGTGACTTCATAATCTCTGTAATAGCTTAGAAACCAATCTATACTACCTTTGGAAATTGCAAACGTTAATCATCTTTAGAAGCTTTAATTAGCTACAGCATCTGACTTTGTGAACGATTGGTCACACTTGTATTTTCAGTTTTCTAGTTCAAATGGAAGAATTTTGCTATTATGTTAAACAAATTCGAAAATTTCCACCTTGAGTTGTGACTTCATGCCAGATAACATGGCATTGGAATGGGAATTTCTTTAGAAATGTGAAGGTAATTAGTGGAACGAGTTGGAAATATAGAAATAAGCATGATAGAGTAAATTCTTGGCTTTCTATCCATTTTTATTCTTGATTCTAAATAAAATAAAATAAATGTCACCTGACTCTGCTTGTATTGTTCAAGAAATAGAGAAGAACTTGGGGCTTGAGGGAGCACACACTCATCAGTGTTTAGTCCTGTCTGTGTCACAGGTCACTCCTGGTATGGCTCAGGAGCCCGTATGGAATGCTGGGAACGAACCTGGGTCTGCCTCATACAAGGCAAGCACTTGATCTGCTGTACTGTCAGCCCAGCACCCGAACTAAGAGAAATTTGGTCTCCATGAATGTGCTCCCTGCTCTCCGGGCTGTTTCCCACCCCTTGAGTCTCTTCTCTTTGGAGGCCGTGAGTTAAGAGAGTGGGACGCGCGGACGAGTGGGAAGCAGCTAGCCCACAGAGCAACAGCTTGGGGTCCTGCTCACTGAAGGAAGACGGTCAGCGGTGCCTGAGACCCACAGAGCAAGCCAAAGAGAGGACAGGTGATGGGGCGCAGGGAGAGAAAAGGAGTCTGAAAGCCCGGCCCCAGGCAGTGCCACTCCTCTCTTCCCAGCCTGTTTCCACCCTCCCACCCCTCCACCCCCCCACCCCCCCACCCCCGCCCAACGCCTCACACTGCTTGTGCCTTCACAGGACTCCAGAGTCGCAGGGGCCCAGGCTTAGAGTCAGGCAGGCAAGAGGAAGACCGGTGGCCAGCAGGAGCATACAACACGTGGGCTCTAGGGTGGTTGAGCGCTGACAGCCCTGTGGCCCCTTAGCGACAGGAAACACATTCCATTCCCCATTTCCTGGGTTGTATCCCTCCCTCCTGGTTCTGGACCTGCTCACAGAGCGGCTCACTGTGCTCTTAAGGCTTCATGGAATCTCCTGCCCTTGGCCCAGCATGGCGTGTGCCTCCCCTGCCAGTTACAGCCCCTCTGGTGGACAGAGCTGTGTGGCCCAGTGAGGTGGAGTCCTCCGGTCACCACTCTACGGGAGCCTTTGACACACTGATTCCAGAAAGGTCTGAGTGCATAAATAAATAAATAAATAAATAAATATCAGGGGTGGGATGAATGGAGACCTTACTGGCGCCCACTCAAGCAAGTCAATGAACAATGGCATGACAGTGCTACAGTGCCCTAGCCCTCATGTTGCTGGCCACTCGTCTCTGCTTACTCCTAGCTTAGGTACCACATCTAGCTAGAAGGGGGTCTTACACATTACACCTCTATTTTGGGGGGGAGACACCCACACCTGGAAGTGCTTCAGGCTTACTCTTGGTGCAATGTTCAGTGAACAGTTATGTCGGTGCTCAGGGTATCGTACACGGTGCTGGGGATTCAACCCAGGGTTGGCTGTGTACAGAATAAACCCCTTACCTCCTGGCTATCTTTCCAGTTCATGTTACAGCTCTTGCACCACAGTTCCTGAACTTTCCTCTACTGTTTTCCAAGATGTTGTCTCTGCATTTCCTTTTGGAGTTTTCTATTAGCATTTCTTCAAGCTCACTTATTTTCTCTGTCGCTGTTTCCAGGCCACTGATGAGTTTATTGAAGATAGTCATATGTTCCAGAGATCATTTTAATAAAATATAAGGGGCTGGAGTGATAATCCAGAGCGTACACTATCACCACGCTTCCTTTGTACATGGTCAACGCAGGTTTGGTCCTTGGCATTGCATTTGGCACCCCAAATCCCACTATGAGTGAGTGATTCCTGAGCACAGAGCCAGGAGTAAATTCTGAGCACTGCCAGGTGTGGCCCAGAAAACAAAATCAAAACAAAATATAGGTTTTATTGAGGTTAAATACACTGAACAAAAATGTCACCGTCCTTGCTGCTTGTAATGTTCAGTTCAGTTGTATCAAGTAAATTTCTTACCACTATGCAGTCATCATCACCATCCTTCTCCATAATTCTCTTCATAAAAAATTGAAACCATGTTCCTATCAAATACTAATCTTTCATTCTCCTTCTCCCACCCCTTTCACTTAGCATTCTACATTTTGGTTCTGTGAGTTTGACAGCTTCTGAACACCTCATGCAAATGGAAACGTGGAACATTTGTCTTTTTGTAACAGGCTTGTTTCACTTGGAGTAACATCTTCAAGCTTCAACTATGATGAGGCTTATGTTAGAATGTCCTTCCTTTGTAAGTGGAATACCAGGTCATTCTAGGTTGGAACTACATTTTATCTGTTGATAGATTTTGAGATTGCTTTCACATCTGAACTTATATGGATAATGCTATGATCATGGGAATGAAAATCCTGTGAAACAACTTTCATTTTTTGATATATGCTCAGAAATGGGATTTCTGGATAATGTGGTAATTCTGTTTTTCGTAAGGCATTTGCCTTGCAGGCAGTCAGCCCTGCCGAGCTGGGTTCGATTCCTCTGCCCCTCTCGGAGAGCCCAGCAAGCTACCGAGAGTATCTTGCCCGCATGGCAAAGCCTGGCAAGATACCCATGACATATTCAATATGCCAAACACAGTAACAACAAGTCTCAAAATGGAGACGTTACTGGGCCCGCTCAAGCAAATCAATATGTTAAGGAATTGCCACATTGATTTCCCCAGCAAGTTTATTATTTACATTCCCACTACAGGTCCATGAATTCCTATTTCGCCCATTCTCAGCAACATGATATTTTGTGGTTTTGTGGGAAATGAGTTCCCAAGGTGGGCGGGGGTCAGTGGTGCTGAGAGTCATTCCCAGATATTGTCTACCAACAAGTCTGGGCAATTGAATGCTAGGACCCAAGGATGCAGTACTGGAGATCACCTTCTCTGTGCTTGGGAACCTCCAGGGCTACACTCAGTGGGATCCAGGTAGCATGCAGTGCCAAGGATCATAGTGGAGTTGTGTGCATGTGCTTTAGCCCATGTGCTGTCTCCAAGATTCTGCTTTTCTTCGAGAGTATCCATCATATGGGAGATACAGGTGATAATGAGTGGCATCCCACTATAGTCTGGACTTCACTTCTCTTGTGAACAATCTCCTTTCAGGGGTTCATTAGCTATGTGTAGACCTTCTTTGAGTAAATGACTACTGAAGTTCTTTGTACATTGTCATTTGTTTTTCCTTTTCCCTTTGTTGTTGCATTGATCTGGGTGGGAGTCACCACACTTGATTCTGGTGTTCGCACACTTAAATTATGGTGCTTTCACATTTGCTTGCAGTGGTCTCAAGGGGGCTGCCCAGTTATAGTGTTTACAGGATTCATACAGCTGAGTTGCAGTGCTTGCACACAGTTAGTGGCAGTGAGCTGTATACACATTTGTGTTGTGATGCTGGAATGGGATTTGCATGTGGGGTTCTACCAGGATCAAATCAGAGGCCTCATAACTGTAAGCAGGTATCAACCACTGAGACATCCATAAGCTCTGTGCATTCTAGAAGAGGCTTGTTTGGTTATTTCTGCAAAAGTGTGTAGACCTTTAGGTGCTATCATGGGAAGATCTGACAGTCTTTTCATTAAGAGACCAAAACCCTGGCAAACCCTTTCATCTGCAATGAGAAAGACTCTTACTTAAGCATGGTCCCTCCTACACCCATCCCCCACACTCAACCTGTATCAGTCTTCATGTTGCTTTGTCAGGGAGCCCAGTTAATCAAGGACACGTTTCCTTGGATATTCTCTAAAACAGCCCTTTGAAATACAAAGTCGGGGCTGGAATGATAGCACAGCGGGTAGGGCGTTTGCCTTGCATGTGGCCGACCCAGGTTCGATTCCCAGCATCCCATATGGTCCCCTGAGCACCGCCAGGGGTGATTCCTGAGTGCAAAGCCAGAAGTAACCCCTGTGCATCGCCGGGTGTGACCCAAAAAAGCCAAAAAAAAAAAAAGAAATACAAAGTCATTTGATGAAACTTCCGTGAAGCGAATGGCAGGACACAGAGTGGAGGGGGTGTGTTTGGGGGAAGGCAAGTTGGGCTGATGGGGGTTCCGTCAGTAAAATGCTCTGTTTCAGTACAGCACAATTATACTGAACCCCCAAACCATCATTAAAAGGGGCAGTATCAAAGGAGATTACATTTAGAAGGAGGAGGCCAGAAGTCCGGAAGAGAAGGACTCAAACCACCCTCAGGAGCAAAAGATATCTGCCTCAAAGGAAGACACAAGAGAGACTGAGTCCCTGGGTCTGGGAGGTGACTGGAAAAGGCAAACAGGTGCTGTCACAGTGAGAACATACTGGGCACAGACAAGTTCAGGAGAATCCTTAGAAACTGTAGGCAAGAGGGTATGGTGCCGCCAGCAGCTGACTCTGTACCTGTGAGGCAAGTGCATCAGCAGCCTGATGGTGCCTTCAGACTTCCAGATACCCCAAAATTGCTGCTGTGCCTTTGGTCAGACTCCCAAAACTTGGGCAAAGTTTACCAAGAAAGTAAATGGCCAAAAGTTAGGTATGTGGGAAACACACCCACAAACCACCTCCGGCTCAGCTATATAATTGGAGGCATGGCCTCTCTGGTTCCTGATTGGACTGCTTAATGGCCATGATCCCAGAGACTCAGAAACAAATCTCGAAACCCAATGGCTTTTGGCAGGAATGAGTCCAGTCCCTGCAGTAGGTTACAGGCACTGGGCCACCCCAGGTGGGAATAGGTTTCGTGTC